TCTCTTCTCTTCTCTTCTCTTCTCTTCTCTTCTCTTCTCTTCTCTTCCCTTCCCTTCCCTTCCCTTCCCTTCCCTTCCCTTCCATTCCATTCCATTCTATTCTATTCTATTCTAATAAAAAAGAAATGCAACTTAGAAATAAAGAGAAATTTCCTGACAGAACAATTAATTGGTGGAACAGTTTTGCGTTCAGAAGTTGTGGGGGCTCCATCACTGGAGGTTTTCAAGAAGTTTCCTGCCATGGACAAGGGGGTTGGACTAGAAGACCTCCAGGGTCCCTGACAACACTATTATTCTATGTTCTCTCTTTCCTTTTGTTCCACTCACCAGCTTTCTTTAAAAGGGTCATGGGAGCAAAAGCGCCCCCTTCTCCTAATTTGGCTTCCTCTCGAGTGGTATGTGAATAAACAAAACCATTTGGAGCCGGAGAGATCACTTTTGAAAATACTGACAGCTTTTCAGTCGTTCTTGGCTCACTGGATCAAATTCCACTTGCTTATCAAAAGCCCTGGTGCCATGGGACAAAACTGGGCACTTAAACAAAACTGGCACCAGTCTGGAAGGCCAGAAAACAACAGCAAGAGCCTGAACAACACATTTTTGAAATAGTTGACCTAACTATGAGGACTAGGTTCTAAATGTGTTACTCAAGATCTGACTGTTGTTTTTCCATTTTCCATAGAACATAGAATTATAGGGTTGGATATAGGGTCCTTCCTTCCTTCCTTCCTTCCATCCATCCATCCATCCAGTTATTTCCTGAAGGATTGTGATTATTTTTTAAGGTACGGGCGCGATTCTAACTGTTGGCTGATCTCACCTCTTGCCTTTTTTTTTTTTTCCGGACAGATGTTTTATTGTATTATTGAAGCATTTTTTCCTAGCAAAGTTTCGTGAGTTTTGGCAAGCCACTCAAATGTGCAAAGAGACATGCAGAACATTGTGAAGTGGATTAAATTAATGTTCTCTCAGAGCTACCAACATGGTACAAGCAGAAGTATCTCTTTCCACTGAGTGAAGCCCTTACCTTAAAAAAAAAAAAAAAGATTATTTAGTGCTATTTTTGAAATAAGTAGTTTTTGGAATTGCATTTAGTTGGCTGGTTTTGATTTTCTTCTTGCTGTTTATTTTGTGTTCTACTGATTGGGTGTCTTAAACCCTCAGTGAATTGTTAACAGGTTCTCTGTAGGTTAAAAGTTGTGAAAATAAAGGGCAAATTTGATCTTGCAAGTCACTGTTTTGGCAATTTGCTCCTTAATTTTGGCAGCTTCTGCTCAGTCTAATACTTTGCCCATCCGATGACTTGCATACTCGGAAGAATGATTAAACCAAGCCATGGTTGAACATTCCACATGCAAGCAATAATCCTGTGTGTTCCCACCATGAACACAGAGGTGATTTAAAATGTTCCTATTTTAAATGTGTATGGAGATTCTCCATCATCAGTTGACCCAAAGGTGTTTTTTTTTTTTTTTCAAAAGGCAACTGGACTTTCTGGACCTTTGAAGATGTTTCACTTCTCATCCGAGAGAAGAACTGCAGAAGTTTCTTGGATGAGAAACAAAATGTCTTCAAAAAGAAAGAAAGTTCAGTTGCCTTTTTTTTTAGGCGGGGGGGAAAAAGCACCTTTGGGACAACCGGTGATGTAGAATCTCCATAGACCAGGGGGGTCAAAAATTTGATTTCATTGAGGGCCGCGTCAGGTGTTTGACCTCGGGAGCCAGGGTGGGCGTGGCCAGGGTGGGCGTGGCTAGCTTGACATCACTCGTGTTGGGGATGCTTGTGGTGACCCAACACTCTGCCAGTGAAAATGGGCTCCCGAGCTCCGTTTTCAGCCACAACAGCCTCCTGCAGCCCTCTGCCAGCAAAGACAGAGCTTTGCGGGTTGGTACTTCTCTGTTTCTAGGGTGGCCCCGCAGGCCAGATCTAAGCACCCAGGGCCAGATCCAGCCCCCGGCCCTTGAGTTTGACACTCCTGCTATAGACATTTTAAAAGAAGAACATTTTTGCACCTATTTTGGTTCCTATTTTAAAATAATTGGCATGTTTCACCACATGCAAACCGGATGAAGAGACACTGGTTTAAGCTGTGGTCTGTTCAAAGATATAAAATACCTTATAACATGTAGTTGTACTATATGCATTTATTTGGTATGTATGCATTTGTGTGTATTTGTGTGTTGGAAATATTTATCAATTCGGATTGGGAATGCTGTTTAGTTTTTAAACCTCCAATGTGAATATGTTGGTAGTGTCATGCCCTTGTTGGAGTCTGATTCTGAGGGGGAGATTGAGCAGCTGACAGGGAGTGGGAGTGTGGCTCCGGTGGCTGTGGAAGAAATGGGGGAAGGGCACAGTCTGGCTGGGCCTTCAGAAGAAGACCCAGGGCCACCCTGTCTTCATCCTAGGGCACACAGGGAGGAACGGAGAAGGGAGCAATGTGGCTTATGAGAGAGAAAAGGGCCCTGATCCCTTTCATTAGTTGCAGCTGGGAGAACAGGATATAAGAAGGGCATTTGCAAAGAGCACCTTGCTGGAAGCAAAGCGTGCATTATCTTTGTCGAGCCTTATCTGGGATTTGGCTTCTCCCAACTGTATGTGCTTCGTTATCTTTTGGAAGTCTGCAATTCATTATCCTGGCCTGTCATGTCAATTTACTTCAGTGTGGTTTGTTTTGGTTTTTTTATTTCTAATTTACCTGTAGTCTGAGTTCGGACTGCATTTCTTCCCTTTGTAGACTGTTTTTGAAAGATATTGATCTCCAGCTGAGGATAACTGAACATTGGGGGCCAAGTTGGAGGTATTAAAGGGAATTTATCTAATTTTGTGACTTATTTTTTATTATTGATTTTGTTATTTTTGTGCCACACCCCGGGTCATCACAGGTAGTCCTCCACTTACGACGACTTTTGGGACCAAATTTTTCTTTGCTAGGCAAGGCAGTTGTTAAGTGAGTCATGCCCAATTTTACAACATTGAACCTTTTGTTGTTGTTAAATGAATCATAAAGTTATTAAGGAAATGTGGTTTTCCTCATTGACTTTGCTTGTTGGAGAAGGTCAAAAATTTGATTGCATGACCATAAGAAGTTACAGCTGTCGTAAATACTTACCTGTGGCCAATTTGATTGTGTGATTGCAGGGATGCCGAGGCGGTCCTAAGTCAAAAATTTTTTAGTGTCATTGTAACTTAACAATGGTTGTTGAATGATTGTAAGTCAAGGACTATCTGAATGGTGCCTACAAAACATCTGTTTATTCATAACAACGCACAGGACACAAAGGATCTTAAATCTGGGGGCCTAATTGAAATGTTGGAAATATTACATTTTGATTATTTGAAATTTCGGGTGCATTTAACTCATTTCTCTCTCCCCCTCCTCCTCCTCTTAGCATAGCTGAAGATCTACACTTCAAGGAAGAAGGAAACAACTCTGTGTTGGCCAGCAAACATCCAAGCTCTCATGGATTCTGAGAACTCTGTTGCTGACCAGTAGCTGGAGAAGTGGGATGTTTACGTGGAAGTGTCTTATTTTGGGGGCTGTGCTGGTCATAGCCACGCTGTCCACTGCAAGACCAGCGCAAACCCTGCCAGAGCAAGGTAGGAGCTTCATCTGCCTTATTCATGTTCATTGGTTTGTTTCCATTCTTACGTGTATTCTACAGCCATGATGTTGGTTAATGAGAAGAATCTTACCAGAGTGGGTTTCTGACAAACATATTTCCAGAAGAACTGAAAGGAACTGTCGTAATTTCTCACTGGGAACAATATTTTATTGGGCGTGTATTATAATACTGGGTTTCCCCGAAAATAAGACCCTGTCTTATATTTTTCCCCATCAAAAATGGCACCAGGTCTTATTTTGGGGGGATGTCATCTACTGATTAACCTCACTTGCACACATCGCTCCCGGCCTCCTTTTCGCTGTAAGAGGCCTTCAGGAACTTCTTCTGTGGCCAGCAAGGCTTTCCTGAAGGCCTCTGCAGCCGATAACAGAGCTCCGGATCGATCTGGACCGTTGTTATCAGCCACAGAAGACCGCAAGGCAGGTGTTGGGGTATGCCAGGCCTCCCACCCTAGCTTAATTTTTATCCATCCACGCTGGAGTGGGCAGGATCTTAATTAGGTTTTATTTGGGGGGGGGTAGGGCTTATATTGGGAGCACATATAAAAATCAAGCTAGGACTTACTTTCAGGGTAGGTCGTATTTTCGGGGAAACAGGGTATATCAGTCCAAGATATTTTCTTCACCAGAGGAGGGTGGGGGAATCTGGTCTCTTCCTCCACTCTCATTCATGAAACCTGGCAGAAATCTGGTTTCATCTTTGTGTGTTCTCTACTGGCTGTGTGACCTGTGCAGGATTGGCCATGTCAGACATACAAGGCAACCTGGTTCTCCAGGATTTGCAAATCTCCCAAACTGAAGCAAGAGCATTAGGGGGAGAGGTATCAAAAAGAAAACAACTAAGATGGCAGTCAGTAGTGTGTAATCGGAGACATTATCTTGGCTTTTTTTTTTTGACACATCTAAATCAAGCCTAACATTTGAAAGAAAGCACTATTACAGAGCTCTCTTGATAGCCTGCTACTCATAACACGTCTGTCTGCACAGCCAGGTGCCTTTCCCAGGTACACTGTGGATCTGGGTTCATATAACATGGTCCACACAAACTCTAGTTCACCAAACATAATGATTTGGTTTCCGAAACATATTATGCCATAAACATGATCTTATAATTTACAATGAACTGAGTCTCACTATAAGCCAGGGCTCCTCTCAATCCTTGGTTCGTGGCACGCCAGAAACCAGTCCACGCAAAAAAATGAAGCCCCATCCATGGGATGCAGGCAGCATGTGAAACCACATCCCTTCTGTTCCACAGGAAAAAAAAAATCTATCTCAATGGAACCCTTCCCTGGTGCCCAAAAGGTTGGAGGCCATACTATCGTTTGTGTAGAAGGACTGGCAGAGTCTGGGCATGGAATGAAAAGAGGCATCAGCCTAGAATCCTTATATAGCCACAACAGAGGTTGTATCCAGCCGGTTCTGACCAGTTCTGGAGAACTGGTAGCAGAAATTTTGAGTAGTTCAGAGAACTGGCACATGCAACCTCTGACTGGTCCTGCCCCCCTCTATTCTCTGCCTCCCGAGTCCCAGCTGATCGGCTGGGTCTTCTTTGGTTGCCCTGCACAGGAGAAGGGAGCTGGAAAGCATCTGGCAAAATCCTGTAAGATTTCATGTCAGAAGCCTGCAACAGATGGATGTTGTTATTGCACAAGAGAATTGTTCCAAGGTGCCAGAAGAAGGTTAAAGCTGCAAATTATAAACTAGAATAAATATTCTTTCATGTTGAGGCCGATGGCAAGCCAAAGCGTTACTGTTAGAAGCAAGCCAAAAGTTACTGTTCATTTGATCAGATAAGGACAGGGAAATTGTGTTTGGTTTTTTTTGTCCTTCAAAGGTATCACCCTGATGTGGAACCATCTTGAATATCTGTATTTCTTTCCATTATTTGAAGCACATGAAGGCCTGTCTCAGTATTTATCCAGTGTCCATTTGGCTGCAGCATTCTTCCACCAGCCTGCAAAAGGACATTTTCTCATGTAAAAATTCAAAACAAACCTTAGGATCTTGAAAGCTCATTTGAGCCCCAGGCAGCATTCCACATTAGCTTATCAAAACAAAACGGCAGCCTTTGAATGATTAATTGCCAAGCTCCTTATCATCGAAAACAATCTGTTAATACTTTCTAAAGAGTAATCTACACTGGATTTGTAAGCAGTGTTCATAAAGCTTGGAAAGAAATAGGAAAGTTAACAGCACAAAAGCAGTTACTGAAAGATAACTAGGAGAATGAAGTTTAAGACGAAAAGTTTGTCCCATTTCTTTTATCAACCTCTCCCTTAGGAAAAGCATCATTTTGCTAAATGGGCAACAAGTTAGTTTCCAGGGTCACAGTACAATTTGTGGGCTGATATTTTACGAGAATGAAGGTAAATATAAGATTTTGGATAAAAGTTGCTCTCTTTTTTTAAATAAAAAATTCAATATTTACATACAAGCCATGCCCAACCAGTCACATGACCACTAAGTCACACCCACAAATTAGGCCACACCCAAGAACCGGTTGTTAAGAAATTTGAATCCCACCCCGCCTCTGTGTGTGTGCACGTGTGTGTGTGTGTGTGTGTGTGTGTGTATGAGAGAGAGGGAGAGAGAGAGATTAGATCAGATCTCTCTCTCTCTCTCCCCCACCAATGTCAGCAAGCTACCGTCAGTCAAAATTCATATTAGTGGTCCCCAGGATTTAAAATGATGAGTTTGATGGTCCCTGGGGTCCAAAAGGTTGCTGACCCCTGTCCCAGGATAATGTTGCAGGATCCAGCCATCGACACCCTAACCAACACCTGACTTCCATACAGTCAGAAATCCATATAAATAAACACACAGAACAGCCCAGTGCATATATTCTGGAGAGACAGGAGTTCCCTGAAAATGGGCTGCAGCACAAACCCAAAGGGCTTGGAAGAATAAACATTTGGTCCTGGCGACCGACTCAAACTAGATCCTGCTCGTATTTTCGTTACAAGAGACAACAAAAATGTTTGGCTTTTTCCTGGATAGATTGCACCATCCCAGAGGGACATCTGAATGGCGCCTTTCTTAGAGTTCTTAGTTAGAGAAGGAAAGAGAAAGCATTGTGTTGTTCCACAAAAAAAACTAATCTTAGTTAGATCGTGGGTACAAAAGTTCCCTTTAGATTCTGTGATGGACCTATTTAGGTAGGTTTCAGGATGTGAACACTAACAATACAGAGAGGCGGGGGGGGCGGGGGGGGAAACTGCATGCTTCATCCCTAGCGGCTGAGCTTCAACACCTCCTGTGATTAACCTTCAGCTTTATGGAAATGGCAAATTAGCTGCTTTGCAATTTTGCCTCCAGCAGAGCTAACAGCATGTGGCTGGTGCTTTATTCATTAGACACTAACTTAGCTTGATATAAGGGCCCAACCACGAATTTATTAGGGCCTATGGTAGTTTGGCAATCACAGAATTTAGCATCTGTTCACCCAATCCTACCCGATGTCCACGCGACACCTTTGAATGTTGACACTTAGTGGATAGGATTTGCAAGCCGGGACATCTGGATAATGGTAGAAGACTGTTTGTAGCATTTGCGCTTTCTGGAATCCCTTCTCCATCTTGATAATTTCTTCTTGAACTAAAGACCGTTAGTCCTAGTGATGAAGAGAAAAACATTCACCTTAAATGGTGTTTAGGCTGCTCAGATTCCCAAAGCATTAAAACAAAACGAAACCAGTGGTGTGGAGTTGCTAACCATACACGGATATCCTGGCCCATTGTTTCCTGGCACTGAGATACCAATGGATCTATCTGTACCTTTGATGGATGGTGTATGTATTTAGAATAGAAGCTCTAAATAGATTCTAGATTAGGAAAGTATATGAACATCTTATTTTATTTATTTATTTTGTCAAATGCTTACAATATAATATAAATAAAAATAAATATAAGAAATAGGAACTAATAATTGGGGACAATAGGACAGCCCTTACAGACCTCTTAGGAATGGGGTGAGGTCCATAGAGGTTAGTTTGAGGGTAAAGGAGTGGGGGTTTGAGCAGGTGACAACAGAATCAGGTAGTGAGTTCCAGACATTGACCACTCTGTAGCTGAAATCGTACTTCCTGCAATCAAGTTTAGAGTGGTTTACATTAAGTTTATATCTGTTGTGTGCTCTTGTGTTGTTGTGGTTAAAGCTGAAATCTTCATTAACTGGTAAGACATTGTAACATATACAACATCTTGTCAGTCTCCTGGATGTATCGTAGCCTTGACTAACATGATTTTTTTTTCACGTGTGTGGATTATCTGGATTTTAACTGAAAGAAAGTTGAATCTTCAAATCAGAACCTTTTAAAGGAAATTAGAGCTAACAGAACAGTGCTTCCAAAAAACAGTTCAAGTAGTCTATCCTCATATCCTTTTGATGACTATAAAGGTGATGAGTAAAACAATCTGGGAGAAATTTGGTACTTTTTGTTGGCAACTTGTTTCTTAGAAATGAGTCAGTGAAGCTTACAGATGGGCTCGCTAAATCTGGAGCTGAAGGCAAACCTTTACAAGACACACTCCCCAAATTTAGATGTAAATTAGAATTCATTGGTTAAATGGTAATTTATACTTTCAGAGCATGGTTAATAGCTCAGAGCGCACAGAACACAAGTTTGGAGTTTGTTTTATTTATTTAATTTTGTGTGTGTGTGTCTTTGAATCAGAATTGACTCCTGGTAATACTTGGCAAGTTTCTCAGTTTTCTTGACAAGATTTCAGAAGTCGTTTGCCGTTGTCACTTCTTAGAGCTGAGGTAAAGAGACAGGCCCAAAATTACCCAGCTGGCTTTGTGCCTAATGTAGGGCCAGAACTCTCTGTTTTTAGCCTAGTGCCTTAACCACTACACCAATCTGCCTCTCTTAGTTGGTGAAAACAGGCCTACGGAGGTGTGTGCAAATTTCCATGCTGATCCTCTGAGGAAACATAACAGAGAACGTAGAATTATTAGGTTAGAAGGGATCTCA